AGGTAGGTGAAGGTGAGTGTGTGGTAGGAGACGAAGGGGTGGAACGTTAATCTGTCTGCTGCGGGTAGTGCGGGGAGGAAGAAGGGACGGTGTTGGGGCAGTAGAGATTGGAGCTGTAGTTGAGATTGGAGTGTCTGGACTTAGCGTGGCAAAAGAATTTGAATGGGGAAGATAGGAAGTAGAAGTGGAGGTGGGAAAGTAAGTATAGGGGAGGGTCTAGGAACATCCAGGGTTGGAGGGGGAGGGACAGAGCGAGCGACATTACTAGAGAAGGGAGTATGAGAGAAACCTAGTCGGCATGCTTCCTGTCTGTCTTCACGCATTGAGACCATTTTTGTATCTGAGAGTTGCAACCTCAGACTCAAACTTGTAAATGGGACAGTCTATAAAATACATTATGAGGGCCACCGCAGTTAGCACATGTGCGTGTTTGTGTAGGGCAGTTTGATCGGTTATGGCCGGATTGGGCACATAAGGGGCATCGGTCTGTGGAACAGCAGTGTTAGGCAGATTGTCTAAAGCGCCAACAGCTCTGACATTGACGGGGAAGAGGTTGGTATGGTCGAACAGGGAGGGATTGTCCACCAATGTAGATAGGAAAGGTAAGGTCATGTGTACGGAAAGTAATTTTGGTAATGATGGTGTTTTTTTTTCGATGACCTCTTGGAGGAATGGAGTAGCAATGTACTGATATCACATCACGGTCTTTGAGGCAGCCGAGTAAGTACTCTCCACAATCTGACCAATCGATATCCATAGGGCAGCTTGCTGGGGAGATAGAAACAGTTCCGGTACAAGTATTAAGAGTTGGATAAGGTTCTGTAGGAGTGGGGTTGCCAGAGAAATCAGTTAGATTTGATAATGCTATAGCTTTAGTTTCAGATGTAACTGTAACGAGACGGGAACGATCGGGTCGGGTATGGCAGGGGACTCTGCCCACTTGCTCTTGGAGACATTGTTGAAAGGGGAGAGTGTAGCTGTAGGGGGGGGGGGGGGGGGGGTCATGAAAAATTGGTCCCATTTGGCTGGGCTAAATAGAGTAAGATATTGGTAGAGTTGTGGGTGGTAGAAGGAATAGGAAGTATTGTTAAGGGGGGTAGTATTCCGAACAGATGGAGAATAAGGCTGTACGGTAGTAATAAGGGAAGATGAGGTGATTGGTGAAGAAGGTTGTGGGGGTAGAGCTGATGAAGTAGAGGAAGTTTGGAGAGTAGGAGTCTCCACTTGGGTGGATAATGCACTAGTAGGAATGGGTAGTAGTTGCAGTGTTCAGAGTCATGGTCAAAGGAGAGCCTGGGGTTAGGAAGCCAGGAGAGTTTGAATTGGTGGGGCTATTTGATGAAGGGGCAAGCCTCATTGCCTCTAATATGAGTATTACTTCTTCATTACTGGCCATGGGAAGCCTTGGCTATGTTGGGGAAATAAACAGTCCACCCCTCAGGGTCCCTTAAGAGGGGTAATGGCTAAACAACAAAACAGGGGATTACCGTGCCTATGGTTCCCTCAGGCAGTTCAGGACTGGCACAAAGTCAGCCTTTCATCCTTTCAGCATGGCTCTTACACCTTGGGAAGTACATAGTAGAAGGGGTTGGAAAAGGGATGGAAACGAAAGAGCTGGAGGTAGAAAAGACCATGCAAAATTAGTTGAGTTGAGGGCTGAAGCCCTAGGCAGGGGAGATCCCTGCATTGGGTCTCAGTCTCTGATTTTATTTCATAGCAGGCATCATTGAAAGGGTAGAAGTAAGTTGTGATGAAGAGAGAGCCCAGGGTTGAGGAACCAACAAAGTGTCAGTCATTATTTGCGATGGGAAGTCTCATGTGTGCAGGTAAGAGAAAAATGGCCCACCCTTAAGGGGTCTCTCTATTAGGGATATGGGTAGAGAATTAAACAAGGGAATACTGTACCCCTAGCTTCCTCAGGTCTATCAGGAATGACCCAAAGTTAGCCTTTTATCCTTTCAACATGGCTCTCACATCTTAGGAAGATGGGATTGGAGAAGAGAAGAGAAGGAAAAGGAAAGGAGAGAATAGATTACAAAATTGGTTGAGCCGAAGGCCGAGGCCCAAAGTAGGGGAGATCCTAACACTGGCCCTCAGTCTCAGTCTCCTAGGAATAAGGGGGGAGGAGAATACTGAATGTTAATTTATAGTAATAAAGATTGGAATTCATATCTGCACTGAGTAATACTTATTACAGATCAAAATATTTACCTCTAATCACAGAACTTACATAATTCTGATATCCATGAGGAATATCATAATCACAAACCTTGTGAAATAATTTATTTCATTCATAATATTTTTTAACATTTAGCACAATCTGCATATATGTATGTACTGCAGAGTTATATATTTCATAGTTTTGTTTTAAAGATTAGGCTTACCTTTAATCTTAATTTTTTCTTCCTTGTAGTGACAAACGCCATGTTTGTAAGAGTACAATAACAGACACAATAAATTATGTAAAGGTGCTCAAGGGAGTGTTCAACCCCTGAAGATTCCTCAGTGGTTGTCCAAGTATTTTTTTTTTACTATTCTTTGTATAATAGTTGTTCATAAATAAACAATTTACTCCCTACACTAATTATACAAAACTGCTGTTATGCCAATGTTCTGAAATCTGAATAATTATATTTAGTCAATGAAATTATGAATATCATTACTAAAGGACAATAAAAAAAAATCTACAAAATGAGTTTATTTAAAAAAATCGTATGTACAGAGTAGGCGTCTTTCACCATGAGGCTGTACTACTGGAAGTGTTGCTACCCCACAAAACAGAGTATTTACACAACCAGCTGCAGTCCCTCACATTATGGGACTATAATGCTGTTAGTTCAAAAGCTCTGTTACTTACAGAGCTTTAATACTGACAATCTCACAGTCCAACAAATGACAGGACTCTTATGCTGACACTAACATAGCCCCCATAGGGGCTACACAACTGACAGTCTTCTAGCCCCAGGTTATCCCGTCCTTAAGATCTGCCCAAATGAGAACTGCTTTTTGATCATATCTTCACTAAGGAGACAAGGCCTGTGTGAGGAAAACAATTTTTTGATCAAGAAGTCTTGCAACTTAAAATTGGCAAAATGTAGTTCCCTTTTTACTGATCATGCCTCTTTCTCCCTGAAATTCAGGTTATCCACTAAAGTGCCTTCTTACTTTTTGCTGAAGGAAACATCAGTCATCTGTGTAAAATGCGTTGCAAAGGGAGATCCTCATGGAATAATGCACTGAGTCTACATATAACAATTCATTTACTATCATATACATTCTTACTCAGATTTAAGTATTTAAGTATTCAAGAATGTGGGACTGGTTGGGGAAAAAACAACTCTGAGAGACTAATTCTAGAGGCAGAGAAGGAATACTCCTTCAAATAATATCAGTTATGAATATAAAATCCCTCTTTTACTTGAAGAAACAAATACGTTTTGATTTTCCCTACAGATAATATAATCTATAAAAAATAATTATGTAAATGTTAAAAGGTAATACACCAATCATAATCAAATCAACTACTAGATTCTATAATACATAAAATTTCATCAATCTGGCAACCAAAAAGAAATATGCATTACCAAGGCTGGCTTTTTACTGCAAGTGTAATACTTATTATTGCTCTAACTCAACACTCGACAGAGAGGTTTATTATGTCACCTGAACAGACTCTGCATTTTGGAGTGAATCTACAACCAAAGCAGTTCTCCGTGGACAATTTACCTGGACAGGTATTGTGACCAATCACCTGGGATTGTGCTGTAACAGGTAAGTAACAGGTCACCTTGAACAAATAACAACTAGACGGCACAGTTCCTTGACACCTTGACCGAGGCAGAACAACACTAAATAAATTTCAGAAAAATGAAAATGTTAAATGTTATATCTAAATATTGTAAAAAGGAGAAGACGTACCTGAGACATGAACAAAATGGGTCAACTTATAAATAAGAGAGTAACAATAAGGGATAACTGTAAGACAGGCACTGGTAGGGCCAGGCAGGTGACGCTGGGCTTCACAAGTTTACCTTTATTACAAAGTTACACGATGAGGCTTCACCCAACCTACTCCATCGTTTGTACATACTCTGCAAAATAATGTACAATGCAAATGATTAAACATAGTCTCATGTAGTCCACCAGGCGGTGAGTTTTATGTAACATTGGGCATGGTAACTAGCACATCCTTTTACATATGGTGAGCAGAGGCTGTGAGGACGTATGAGTCAGGGAGTACACAGGGTGGCTGTAGTTTTAGTATGAATGAGATTGGAAGAGATTGAAGAGTGTCATGGTGCTGGTTGGGTGATTCAAGGACTCCAGAGGCAGTTCTTGTCATGTTGATGAAACCTGTGTCGTGATGATGAGAGTAGCTTCTTCTGTCTTATAGAATATAATTAAGAACAAAGCTGGTGTAAATTCTCAGGAAACAGCTACTGGAAAATGATGGGAGGCAGTAAGGTTTTCAGAAACAGCATTAATGTGGGTGATGACTATTTAGCTATCAATTTTGTCATGCATGACAAAAGAAAGGTACTGGGAACTGCAGGACTGGGAGAGTGAAGTTTTGGATGCTCAGGATCAAAGGCAGGTGTCTGGGAAGATCAGGTGCTGAGAGAGAAGTTCACAAGATAGTATTTAGGGAGTGACAGTAGCCAGGGCACAATGGAAGGTGTGGGCAACGTACGACCCACACAGCCTCTACAATATTAGCACCAAGTTAAACAAGTAGTAAGAAGTGGGTGCAAGTATGATGGTAATCACAGGTTCTGGGGTTGGCCAGCCCTCCTCACTTGTGCTGTGCAGACAGGCACTAGCTCTCCACCATTGGGGTGAGCAGGCCAAGGATCCACAGCAAGTCCTCCTCCTTTGCATGGTGTAGGCAGCTGACTGCATCAGGTACACTCCTCGACTGTGCTGCACAGGTAACTGGAGCCAAACAGGAGCTGGCACCTTGTACACCTAAAGCAGGTCCACATGCACACCACCTGTTAATCTGCAGACACTCACAGACCAGTGTCAGCATGAGGCCACACTTTCAACTCTGGGCTTTACCATCTGGTTGGTGACTAGTGAAGCTTGGGCGCATTAACACTTGAGTTCTGTAAGCTCCTTTGCAGGACCTTACATGCCACAGTAAGAAGCTTATTGCAGGTCTCCCTACTTTTTTTCTATTTTTAAAATTTTTCTTCCAGCAACAGTACAACTGCAGACTTTTACAAAGCTCTTGCAGAAAACAATAGTTGCATAACAATGAACAAATGTAAAACTGTGATTAGGGGTCTAAAAATGTTCCAAATAATGTACATGTGTGTAAAAGGAGACAAATCTTTGATCTTCTCCTTTTATGGTGTATAATACAGTGTCATTTGTACAGGCTGTCAAGTACCCATCGTGTACCATCAGCATTATACCAAACACTACCTAATGGCACACTTAATAATGTATGATAAAACACTGATAAGCTGCTTGAAAGTAAAATATGTATTACTTGTTGATATAATATTGTTTGATTTACAGACCAATGCTTTACTTGATGTCAATATATTATCATACATTATGATTTATGGATCTTGAGCATTCTAATGTGTATCATATATATGAACATTGTACCACATGCCATTTCTTTTTGTTTTTTGTCTTCCTAGCAAGGTTTAGGACATTAACAAGATTGTAGACAGTCTGAAAAAAAGCAATTCTAGCAAATTTCTGTTATCTAATACAATATTATATATTATGTGATACACTGATCTGTATTTGTTTTTTTATCACCTGGAAACATAATGAAAAAATAAATAAAATAAAAATAAACAAACAAATTAAAAAGATAAAAAAAACAAAAATGACAACAGTGGCACACAAGTGTTAATGGTGTTGGCATCTGAGAAACCAGATGGATGTAGCAAGAGCTGCTAGTGATGGCATCAGGCACAGAAATGGTGGCCACAATTAGCAGCCATGCTGGCAAGAGATGCAACTTGCCGAGGCTGGAATGACTACAGTTGCATCAGACTGTTGCCAGAATGGTGTTGGCAACAAACAGGCTGCATGGCGGCTGGCAGTCGGTGTCAGCCTGCACTTGACAAGTATTTGCAAACGAAGAAGAGCTGGGCACTGTTGTTTCAATCCAGTGTCCTCCAGCCAACACACCTTCACACTTACACATATCTTCCTGTTATCTCTAAAATGAGGTAAGAAATTACGCCTATCATTTGTAGGCTTGAGGGGTCACGGGACTCCCACCACTCTGGCCCAGCAGCAAGCCACAGTTCTCACAGACTGGCGCTCGGGCTTGGCAGGCAGGCAGGCTCTGCGTGCACTGCCCTCTCAACGATCTCCACAGCACAACATACAATTTAACACCACCAGTCTATAAGTGTTCCTCCCTGTTGCTTTATAATGGTGTTGTCGGGTAGATATCATATATGTACATCCCCTTTGGGGTATTGTGAGCACCAAACACATTCCTCCCTCAGAGATCCACTCCAAGATGCACTCTTTTCCCAACAGCCATCACAAGGGACTTTCACACATACAACACTCCACTTCACAAAATAATATATATATATTTCATCTTTCCCCCTCCCTTCCCCCTCAACAGCATTTCAGTCCGCTTTTCTTATCTGCGCAAATATCTTTCCATCAAAGAGTGGCAGAATTTCCTGGTCATCCGTCACTTCCTCCTGGATCACACCAAACTCTTCGCACTGTTTCTTGAAGAAGAATCTGAAAGTACAAAAGGAAAACTCATTGTCTTAAAGATGCCAGCTCTTGCACACAGCAACTCTTTTCAAAAGTAGATATAATCATGCATAAATCATGTTGTATGTTACAGCATGCACCAATAGGTCAGGAAGCTTAACAAATGTAAAGTTTTAAATATCAAGTGCCAAATAGAGCATTATTTCTTTAAGAGGATAAGACCATGCTAGTAAAAGCAATCCTTCTCCAATGGCCATTATAAAGTACAAGTCAAGACATCCAATCCTCAGCTTGAAAGACCCCAACTACAGGCACAGCTAAAAAGGCCTATGCACAGCAAAAGGACTTACCTGTAATTTCCCTTCTTAGGTAAGTGTTGTTTGAAGCGCCTGAGAGTGACTGGGCGGGTGGGGATGCGGGTGACGAAGGGGACGTCGTCGTCGTGGAAGTTGTAAATGACTGTGGTGCTCTCAGTGGTGGTGCTCATGACCGACCCAGAGCCTCCTCCACCCCCCCAAGCCCGCCACCTGCTGTGGAAGCCGACCCGCCTGCACCCGCACAGCCACTGCCACATGCGCCTCCACCACTGCCCGTGCTGCTGCTGCCACCACTCACGCCACTGCCTTCATACATCCCTGGAAATCATCACTGGCTGTTATGGTGTGACAACATGCAGACAGACAAACAAACAGACAAACTCCCTCCCTCTCCTTCAGTGTCTTCTTCTTAACACTGAGCACCTGACTTCTCTCATCACTTTCTTCCTACATACCATTCAATCCAATCCAGTTAATCTGCCAGACTGAAAAAAGGGCTATAGAACTCTCCCTTCTTCACCCTCGAGTTGCTCATTAACTATCCAATGTTTCCAACTGCCGTGCCCAAGCTACCAGCACCTACTAGACTGAAAAAGGATAGGCTCCCACCTGGAGGTGTTGGTTGCGAGTGCCTTGAAGGACGCTGCTTACGGAGAGTGGAGCCATTGGACCCAGGGCACACTGGCCCTGACCCATCACCATGACCCTGATTACGATTGCTGCCACTCTCTGGGTGACCCCAGCCATGGCTTGAGCTGTGGCCTCCAGACCGGCTGGATCCACCACCCCTGAAATAAGTATTACTAATCAATCACATTTATAAAACTGAAAAATATAAAATGATATGGAGAGCCATATCTTTTACTGTTTTGTTTTCAGGTTTGAAATCTATTTTTCATAAAACAGGCAAAATTAGGTCAGATTCTCCCTCAACACAACTGGAGAAACACAACTCACCGACTTCTCCTCTTCTCTTCCGAATGTGAGGCATGAGAACCATGCACAGCATGCGAATGGGGAATATGTGGTGCATGCATGCCATGCCCCATATGGCCGCCCTGCTCCATCGCTGCTGTCACCCAGCCAGCAGGGCCACGGTCAAGTGAGCCAGACCGGCCTCCCCCAACGCTGCCACCACTGAGGCTGCCACTGGCACTCACATTACTGCCAGTATTGGCCAGTGTCCCTGAGCCGCCCACGCTGCCACCACTCACACTCCTGCGGCCACCACTACTTCCGCTGCGTCTGAAAAGCCAACTAATGGTCAGTCTAAATTCCATTATAGGCCAAAAGTACGTGCTAAAGCAATAACAATCCTACCAAAGCTCTATTAAAAAATGTGCTTACTAAAATTGAAATGTTCAATCACTGATATACATCAGTCATGCAAAGGCACAATAATAACTGCCAATTATAAAAAAATATCCTTGTATGAAATAAGCTTACTCAGCAGCAGGCCTCCAAGGAAGCCAAAAGAATGCTAATAGCCTGTAAAATCAAGCTTTCTTGGGACAGTTAGAGGCATTAGCTGAAGACTGGAAGATATCTTATAAAAGCAAGGGAAATTTAAAGAATCTGAAGCGATGATTTTCAACATAAAATAGCCCAGACATAAGACCAAGTGCAAGTATCAGGATCTAAGATCAATTGTGGAAAATAATCTTGGAAAGTGACATGATTTTTCTTTATGTATACTGACAGAATAAAGGTATTGACACACATGAATAAGAACAAACCAACGAGCTGGACAATGATGAAATGTGCTTGAATTCAAGAATTGCGCACATAAACCTCAACCAACTACAAATAAGGAACAAGCAAGCCAATCAGAGAGCATAAAGCAAGAATAACTACAGATCAATAGTTTGTGATGCAACAAAGAGTAGGATATGAAGTCTGGGAAAAACTTTTAGTAAAACACTATCGTTCCATTGTCCAAACTCTTTACATGAATGGAAAAGGCCTGAAATTAGTTTGTTATTTAATACACCAACTAAGCATCTATGTAAAGGCAATGACAAACAAATCAGCCAGAGAGGAAAAAGCAGAGAAACAAAAGAAAAGTCACACACACAGTGACAAAGACATAGTAAAGGACAAACAGCGTGTGAGTGAAATGAAGTGAAAAGAGATGTGAAGTCACCTTAGAGTTCCAGGAGAAGTAGCCCCAGCAGCAGTATGTGTGGACCGGCTCCCTCGTAGCCTGGGGTCCCACTCATGCTCAGGGTACACACTGGACGTGCTGCCACTCCCACTAAATTTATCACTCTCTAGAAGCCATGAGGTCACCCTGAAAAGGACACACCACATGGAGTCCCCTGACATTGTGAAGCACTTTTCATGTGTACAGTGTATAGTTTCTAATGCAGAAATCTCTTGTGATGTTTCTTTGAGTGTAGAGTATTTTGCATGAAGTAAACAAAAAATGAACACAAAGACTTTATGCTAGCAATGTCTGAATTCCTGCACATCCCCCATATGTAACACAGTATGCATCTAAAGGAGTAAAACAGCACATAATCGGCAATGCTGAGATGTATGGAGGCTTAGAGGACATCCATCATTATAAGATAAGTAGAAACAAATGGTAAGACCACAGAAGGACTACACAGAACTGGATACATGAGCAAAAGATTTAGAAAAAGAAAAGAATAAAACAAAGAGAAAAAGGAGTAAAAAACAAAAACTGAAAAAAATCTTCAGAAAAAATCTGCGTGCAGGGAGTGAGAGCACCTAAGGCTAGGGATCATTCTACACAAACCTCTCCGTGGATGATGCTGAGGGTGCTAAGGAAGGGCCAGAGTCAGACACCACTGATACTCCAGAGTCTGTCAGGTCAGCCGGAGGACGTCGCGAACTGCTCCGTCGGCCACTTGACTGGCGTCGCCCTGAACTACCACCATCACTACTCGTGCCTGAAGTAGAACCACAGCATGTTGCGTGTAACAATTCAGCTCCATTTCTCTAACTGACAGTTTTACATACTGGTATTGCAATGACCAAAAACTTTACTCTACTGGTTTATAAAATTTCTCTCACTGTTTTTTGCTGAAACTCAGTTAAAAAACTAATAATATTCTACAAATTACAACTTCAACAGTATACACATACCTGCATAATTCTCCATGTATTCTGGCATGGAACGAGACTTGGGTAGTGGGTGGAGGGCACCCCTCTCATTGCTTTCGTAATAATCTGCTACATTTCCAGAATCCGACGAAAATGTAGAGTTTACGTCTTGGCCCTGTTGAACATTAGACATTGTAAAGGGAGAACCACAGTAAGCACTTTCATCATCCACGAGTTGGAAAATGACACAGCAATAAATCACTTCATTAATTACACAATGGTCTATGATATTTTTCATCTCCAGAATGAATTATAATAACTAAATCTTATACCATAAAGTATCAATATTAAAACAAATGAATGGTAAATTTTATTAACATGTTTGAAATATAGTTTGAAATATAGATAAATAAAATCATACGCGATCTCTGCGGCGAGTGTGATGCCAGTTTTTGCTGGCTTGGTACGGGTGGGCAGATGGCCTGGTGGGAGGTGCGCAGGATGGCCAGGGGGGAGATGCAGAGGGTGGCCAGGGGGCAGTAGAGCTGGGTGGCCAGGGGGAGATGAGCTGGGTGGCCGGGCGCAAGTGGCCCTGGTGGCCAGGCTGAACCGAGGGCAGGTAACTGGAGCCGGAGACATACATGGACGGATGAGTGCCGCTCACCATGCCCTGTGGGGAGAGTGGAGGTCATAATCTGCCAAGAGGACAGTATTTGTTTCTAAGTGTCTGGATTTATAAGATAAATTTCAGCCAAACATTTATGCAAAAAATCATTTACAATTGAGATTTAAAATAATTTAACTCAGAAGAGACAGAATAATAAGTCTGGAAATAGATGTTTCAAGCCATAACCCCCTACCTTGGATGACAAAGGCAATGGCCGAGGCTGAGTGCCAGGCCGTCTGCCTGAGGGTGACTTGGGACGAGGGGATCCGGGAGAGCGAGCAGGTGTGTCGTTGTTACTGTCCTGCCACACTCGCGAGACATGCTCATCTGCAACAAAAAAGATCATCATTTTGTGTCCTTTCAAAGGTTTTACTTTTTAAAAAATCTTCACAAAGTATGACTTACCTCTAAATGACTTATGTTTAAATTTAGATATACGCTTTCTACTTCAGGAGTAGAAAAAAATTCCTGCTCAAATACTGGGAATGTTGCAGACTGGACCTCCTCTCACTTACCTAATATAGACTGGCAAGGATCTACATCATCTAGAGGAATCTTCTGATTAAGTTTATCCAAGAGAAGCGAAGGAGGAAGACTGTTGAAGGCGTGTTGTCTGCGGCACTCGTCCGACACATTGTCCCCCTGCAGAGGTAATGCACATCTGAGGCTCCCATATTCATAGTTTAGATGTTATCAAAACAACAAAACCACGGAAGTAGAACAACTTGTATCCAACAACCCAGACCACTGCTATTACCTCAGTGACTGGTGCTACTAATGAACAAAACCATATAAAAAGTACAGTGTGCACTTCTGCTCAAATGACAGCCATAGTGGAGAGAGAACTACCTCCTGGATCTTCTTGAAGGACTGCTGCACCTTCTCTTGTGACTCTCGGTCTCTCTTGACCTTCTCTAGACGCTCTATAAGAAGTGCAGCAAACTCGGGCGGCTTGAGGTTGGGCACGGACTCATGGCGCAGGCGGTGCGTGCGGGGGACGAAGGGCACGCCACCATGGAGGATCCCACCCCACCCCTCCTGCATTGCTAGGGAAGCTGCCCCCTGTAGCTGCACTCAGGGCCAGTTCACGATTCTGTCGGGCATTCTCGCGCATCTTGTGGTACTGTCTCTTGAGGTATTTTGGGTTGATGTTACGACCAAACCCAACTGACATTCCATCGCTGCAAGGAGGATCTCCTTAGTTTTGTCAATACGATCTACCTCAAACCTTGGACAATCTCAATGTACAGAAACACTTATCAAGTACATCAGTGCAATGAACCCAATCAAGCATACCCAGCAAAAGTAAACAAAAATAAATTTCAGCAACTGCTCCCTCTTTATCGTTCTCTGTCTCTTTCTCATAAACACATACAAATATAATCACACACACACACACACACACACACACACACACACACACACACACACACACACACTTAAAGAAGGTCTTCTATGTCACCATTACTACTTTTAACATTAAGACTGATCATACTTTCAAACAAGTTTGCAAACTAAATAAAATAACAAAAATAAGGAATAATGAAGTGGAAATCTGTATCTATGGTACTAAGATACATAAGTATATATATATATTATATATATATATATATATTATATATATATATATAATATATATATATATATATATATATATATAAACTACAAGGCTGGTACAAAGTATCAACATCTGCATTACCTTAAGTATGATCAAGAAATTACTCAAAGTAAATAAAAGGAAA